CCGAGCGCCTGGGGAATAAAACCTTTTTACAGGATTGTGGTGAGATTTTAAAGGTAATCCTTGGATATTCTCAGCTAGTGGCAGGGACAGAAGAATATAGTTCTTCCAAAGAGGACCAGAAATAGGAATGAACGTAGAGCCTGCCGGCAGGAACGTTCTGTTGGGCATTAAGGATAACAAAGCACTTTTGTTTGATCTCATTTGAGTTTCACAGTAGTCCCGTGAGGGAGACTTCTCCGCATTTTATACATGAGAACACTGAAGCTCAGAAAGGTGGTGTTTTGCTCAGTGTCAGTGTGTTCTCAGCCCCAGCTAGGCTTTCTCTCACTTTCCTGGGCTTCCTGGCCTGAGTCCTCCCCTGAAATCCACGTGAAGGGCCTCTTCCCACCGTCCCCTTGAGGGAGCTTCCCGGAACTTCAGAGACCTCAGGCCCTCACCACGGGCTCCCGGGCGTGGTATGGACCAGGGTGTGTGGGCCCTCTTGTCACCGTGGACTTTGTGCTCTGCCATTTAGGCACCTGCGGAATTCAAGTCACGCGGGAGCTTTTGTGATTGTGAGTGAAGAAGCTATTGCCAAGGGCATCCGGAGGATTGTTGCCGTCACAGGGGCCGAAGCCCAGAAGGTGAGTGTGGCGGTTTGTGGCTTGTGGCTTATTTGAACAAGGCAGGAGGAGCGCAGTCTGTGAACCTGGAGTGTAGACGGTTCCGTAGCTGCTGTGCTCAGAATTGGAAGTACAGGGCTCCCCCCGAACTGTCCTCCAGGGACCCCCACCTGTCAGAAGAGAGCCACCACTGCCCAGGACTGCTTAGCTGTACTGTGTTTAATCTTTAAAAATATGTGTAAATTCTGCCATTGACCCCATCATCTATCTGTCTCTAGGAGGGTAAGGCATAATTTGGCTGTAGCTTCCAGTGCCCCCAGCATTCATGTCTCCCTGGGGGTGCATGCCTAGTTCAAGACACACAGCGTATGGGGATAGTTGCCCCGGGGTGGGGACTGTGGCTGGGGCCTGAGGGCTCTGAGGCTTGCGGATCGATCATTTCGTTGGGGTGAGAAGGGCTGCTGACTTGGGGGTTCTTGGTTATCCCCTGAGCCTGAGGTAGTGCAGCCTTTCCGCTGGTCAGATGTGTGAGGAGGGTGCTCCTTTCTGGGGCATGAGGCGGCCAACACTTGCTCCCTGAAGGCAGAGAAACTTCTGGTGACTTGGGGGTGTGTTGTTCCATAACCTGCCTTCAGCGCTTGCCACAGTTTACAGATGGCACTGAAGCTGAAAGTTACCTGACCAGGTTTACAACTCTGTCCCTCTCCAGGCCCTCAGGAAAGCAGAGAGCTTGAAGAACACTCTCTCTGTCATGGAGGCCAAAGTGAAGGCCCAGACTGCGCCAAATAAGGATGTGCAGAGGGAGATCGCTGACCTTGGTGAGGTAGGGGTGGCCTCCCTTCTCAGGCCCTGCTCGGGGCTGATACATCAGACACGGCCTGAAGACGTCTCAGGTCCTGGTTCTCAGTGCAGTGGCTCTTTGAACTGACTTCTGTTGTCTGGCAGCCTTGCAAAGGGGGCTCTGTGGATCCTGGTCTGCGGACCCCTGGAATCTGCTTGCTGCCCCCACTGCCGATGGCAGGGCCTGTTGTAAGCAGGAGTGGGCACCAGTGTTGAGGGGGTTGAGGGAAGGGGTGCCCACTGTGTCCAGGCCTTCTCATCTCTCATCTCTGTTAATATGTGGAGGCTTCCCGTGAGCCCATCATAGGCTGTGTTCACTGCCTGGTAGGGACCAGCTCTTACAGGGGGTCCCAGCTCTCTCTGTCTGCCCCTTTCTTTCTCGCCCTAATTGGTACAGCTGCCGTAGTTGCTCATAGAGTGGTCTCCAGGCTACTGGATACCTTCTTGTTTTTTGTTTTCTCTTTCCTTCTGGATACTAGTCAGGGAACACTTTGGTGTTCAAAGCCAGAAGGGTGGGATAGGCTTGGGCCTCATATCCTAGCTCCTTGTGGTCTGGATTCCAGTGGTATTCTGGTTCTGGTTCCAGGCCCTGGCCACTGCGGTCATCCCCCAGTGGCAGAAGGATGAATTCCGGGAGGATCTCAAATCCCTGAAGAAGATCATGGATGACCTAGACCGGGCTAGTAAAGCCGATGTCCAGAAGCGAGTGAGTGCTGCCGTGCTGGTGGCTGGAAGGGAGTCCGAGGACTCACCCAGCGGAGACTGTGTGGTGAGCTGTCTGGGCCTTTGACCTGAGCCTCTCTTCTGGATTTCCTCGCAGGTGTTGGAGAAGACAAAGCAGCTCATTGACAGCAACCCCAACCAGCCCCTTGTCATCTTGGAGATGGAGAGCGGTGCCTCAGCCAAGGCAACCGGGGCGGGGGCTGGGGGGGCCTGGGACTCCACGTGCCGCTCTGTGCCTGTCCACTGCTTGTCTCCTCTTGGGACCTCAGCCCTCTGGTGGCTGAAGTGTGAGCTTTGTGGCTCTGAGTGGAGTGGTGGAGTGGTAGTCTGAGGGCCCACTCTTTGTGGCTCTGAGTGGAGTGGTGGAGTGGTAGTCTGAGGGCCCACTCTCTGGGATTGAGGTTAGGCTGAGCCACGGAGGGATCTGGTGGCTGGAGAACTACAGCTCCTGGGGATTGAAGACAAACCTCAGAGCTGGAGTGTGGGCAGGGCCTTGTGCTTGGGTCCTCTTCCCCGTACAGTCTCCTGGGACCAGCACCTGCTCTTAGAAGGGGAAGGGTGGCAGGGGGTGCTCAGAGAACTGGGCTCTGCAGACTCGCTGCATGGTGGAGAGCATGGCTCCCCTTCCCCAGGCCTGGCCTGACAGCAGCTTTCCCACAGGCCCTGAATGAAGCCTTGAAGCTCTTCAAGACGCATTCCCCTCAGACCTCTGCCATGCTCTTCACAGTGGACAATGAAGCTGGCAAGATAACGTGCCTGTGTCAAGTCCCCCAGGTCAGAATACCCTGCAGCCCTGTGCCCGTGGGGAGTGGTGTTGGAAGCTTGGTGGTTCTTACAGTTGTTTGCCAAGGCCCTTTTGAGTGTGCAGCCAGTTAGAAACAGCCATCTCCTGGCCCTGTTTGTCACCTCCTCCGGCACCCCCACTCTCAGGCCCTCTCCTTGGACACGTTTCACTGTGGTGATACCTGGCTTGGCGACTCCGTGTGCCTCAGCCCTGGTGGCAGCACCCAGGAGGGCAGGAGTGGGGCTCTGCGGCTCCCCCATCCTTTTTCATTTCGTCCCCTCTCCATGTCTTCCTCAGTCTCGTCTTCTGTCCTGACTCCCACTTCTCCTGTCTTCCAGAATGCAGCCAACAGGGGCCTGAAAGCCAGTGAGTGGGTGCAGCAGGTGTCAGGCCTGATGGACGGCAAAGGTGGTGGCAAAGATGTGTCTGCTCAGGCCACAGGCAAGAATGTGGGCTGCCTGCAGGAGGCCCTGCAGCTGGCCACTTCCTTTGCCCAGCTCCGCCTGGGAGATGTGAAGAACTGAGGGGTGGGGGCAGCTTCCGCTGGGAAGCAGCCTTCCTTCACCCGATGCATCCGTCCAGCCAGCTCTCCATCTGCCACGAGGACTTTGGGATCTTGGGACCCTTAAAAACCCCCGCCTGTCCTCCTAACCCAGCAGTAACTGGAACTCACTCACCTGGGAGCTGGCCTATGACTCATGGCACACATTACATTTCTGCCCTAAGCCCTACACACCAGCGCCATCGTCTAAAACCACTACCCCAGGATTGCTGTTTATCATCGTCCTGCTCGTGTCTGTAGATAGAGTTCTTTGCGGGCCTGAGGGTCTGGGTCTGTAGGGAGGGATCCTTTTTGCTGCAGAGAATAAAAGGACTCTGTGCAATACCCGATGACGCCATGTGTTCTCTTAACCACCCGCCTCCCGTATGAGCCCCCACTTGACAGCCTGTGGCTCCCACTGGCTTCGGCTTGCGGTCCACACCAAGTCCAGCTCCAGACTCCTGAACTTTGGGAATAGCCACTGGGATTACCTGAAGACATCGGTGGAGGTGGCCCATAGAATGGGGAATTGGGGGGGTGAGATGGAGAGGCATTCAGCATTGAACAGAAGATGGGTCGTGGGGTTACTGGAAGCAGTTCCTAGGGGAAGCTCTGCATTTCTTAGGCCTGTGTCCCTCCTCCCCTGTCTCGTGATGTTGAGTGGTCTGGGGGAGGTCAGAGGTTTTCTCTGCTGCAGGGGGTACTTCGGGTGCAGTAGTTGCCTATGCCCACCCCTTTGACCCATCATTCCTGGCTTCCTGACCCGAAGATGAAGGGTGAGATTTGGGACCCGCCTGGTCCTGAGTCCTTCATTCAGATCTGAAGACAGCTGGGTTTGGAAACCGTGTGTGGGGGAGGTTTAAAGGTACCGCTTGCTTGTGCTGGCTCTGGCTGATTTCACGTTTGCTGGGTACAAGAGGTGGCTGTGGGGCCCAGGTTCACTCGGTGCCACTGACTCAGAAGGAGGGGGAAAGTGGGTCTGTGCTAGGAGAAGCCGCAGGGGCTAACTGTCACCAGCCTGGGGGTGAGGGACTGTCCCGGCTTGCAGTGAGAGAAGCATGCAGGGGGAGGGTCCTGAGGGACCTGGCTTCAACAAACACATCCAGGTGAGGACCCCCAGGGGTACAAAGAATACACAATCCAGTGCAGCAGAGAGGCCGTTTCATCCATCAACAAGCATTACGCCAGCCAGGGCACTGATGATGGCAGGAAGACAAAAGGCCATTGCCTTCTTGGGGGAAGGCAGAGGGGAACATGTATGAGAAAGTTACGCATATAAGTGCAAAATTAAAATAATTACAACCTACACAAGTGAAAGGACAAAGACATACGGCCTGGGATTGCTCTGGCCCGAGAGGCTAGAGGTTAGCCAGGCCGGCCCAGCTCCCACTTCTGCAGGCCCCCCAGGCCGTCCATCCTTCATCCATCGAGATCCCAAGAGTCCTCGCTGCGGCCCCGGGGCTCGGCTGCGCTCGCTATTCTCCCTCCAGGACGGCAGGGGGCGGTGCGGCACCGCCTGCCGCTATCCCGACAGCCCTCGCGCGGGCGCGCGGCTTTAAGCGAGCGGAAGAACAGGCGCGCGAGGCCGGGTCGGCGGGCGGAAGCGGCTCGCACGCCAGGCGCCGCCATGCCCGGGGACCATCGCCGCATCCGCGGGCCCGAGGAGTCGCAGCCGCCGCAGCTGTACGCGGCCGACAAGGATGAGGCGCCCGCCGCCCGCGACCCGACGCGGCTGCGGCCCGTGTACGCGCGCGCAGGGCTGCTGAGCCAGGCCAAGGGCTCGGCCTACCTGGAGGCGGGAGGCACCAAGGTGCTGTGCGCCGTGTCCGGCCCGCGGCAGGCCGAGGGCAGCGAGCGCGGTGGCGGCCCGGCCGGAGCGGGCGGCGAGGCCCCGGCCGCGCTGCGCGGCCGCCTGCTCTGCGACTTCCGCCGCGCGCCCTTCTCCGGCCGCCGGCGCCGCGCGCCCCCGGGCGGCGGGGAGGAGCGCGAGCTGGCGCTGGCCCTGCAGGAGGCGCTCGAGCCGGCGGTGCGCCTGGGCCGCTACCCGCGCGCGCAGCTCGAGGTGTCGGCGCTGCTGCTCGAGGACGGCGGCTCGGCGCTGGCCGCCGCGCTCACGGCCGCCGCGCTCGCCCTGGCCGACGCGGGCGTCGAGATGTACGACCTGGTGGTGGGCTGCGGCCTGAGCCGCACCCCGGAGCCGGCGCCCACCTGGCTGCTGGACCCCACGCGACTCGAGGAGGAGCACGCCGCCGCCGGCCTCACCGTGGCGCTCATGCCTGTGCTCAACCAGGTGGCCGGGCTGCTGGGCAGCGGGGAGGGCGGCCCGCCCGAGAGCTGGGCCGAGGCGGTGCGCCTGGGCCTGGAGGGCTGCCAGCGCCTCTACCCCGTCCTGCAGCAGTGCTTGGTGCGGGCTGCCCGCCGGAGGGGCGCCGCCGCGCCGTCCTGAACCAGAAGCCTGGGCAACGACGGACGCGGAGGGCCGAGCTGCCGCCGTCCCCTAAAAGACCCGTGCCGTCAGCTTCCAGACTGCACGGAGCTGAGAACTCGGAGGGCTGGACAGGATCCGAGGAGGCGTGCACAGAGCTAATGCACTGGACAGCTGTGTTCGAACAGTTTTTGAGAGACTTCCGTTAAAGAAACTTTGCTACTTGAGCTGGTGCTTCCCAGCTACGACCCGAAGAAACTTGCGAATGCGGCCTGACTCCCAAGTTGGAAAGGACTTTTCAGCTGGACTCGCCTGGAAAACGGGACTTGGAGCTTTTGTCTTGTAAGGGATGGACCCTATGCAGGCCAGCTAGTGACTCCCTTCTATGTAATTGGTCTGCTCTTGAGAGAACGGACAAGGGGCTGTGCCTACTCATTTATATCTGAGCTAAAACAAACTCCTTTGTATCTGGAAAAGTGTTCTATTGTCGTTCTTCTCGGCAGTGAATTTAAAGGAGCAAGACTTTTGCACCGAGTAGTGGACCCCTGGGGTCGAGGGCTTGGGACGGCATTGCCTTGAATGTGTCCTGTTCCTTAGACCGACATAAGCAGAAGAAACCGGCTGAAACGGAAGGAGGTGCAGGGTGTGGGGGAATGAGCCTTGAAGGAGGAGAAGCTGCCCCTTGAGTACCAGAGTTGGCCACTGGTGAGGTGTGACAAGAGTATGGAGGGCTGTATGGGCCGAGGAGCACTCTAGCCTCTGGTTTGGTGCACAGCTCAGGGTTGGGTAGCTGGAAGGGGTTTGGCTCTGGGTGGAAGCCAGAGGCCTCCTCCACTGCTGGTAAGAAGTGGGGGTCCAGGCTGGCTTTTTTTTTTTTTTTTTAAGATTTATTTGTTTAGAGAGAGTGTATGTGTGGGGGACAGGGGTGGGGAGGAAGAGAGAGAGAATCCCACACAGACTCCATGCTGAGCACAGAGCCTGATGCGGGGCTTGATCTCATGACCCTGAGATCAGGACCTGAGCCAAAAATCAAGTCGGATGGATGCCTGACTGACTGAGCCACCCAAGCGCCCCATCAGGCTGGCTTTATTATTTGGCTCCCCTGTCCAGTCTTGGCTTCTGGAAGGGTGCAGATGAACTTCCAGGAGCAAGAGCTTCTGGATGTTGGGAAACGAGATGCAGCCTGGCCATTACACCATACAGCAGAGCTGGCCTGAGTGGCCACAAGAGTGGAACCTTTCCTGTGTGGCTCCTGAGCCCTGTGAGTTTGTGCTCAGGTCTGAATTGGAAGAAGGCAGGCAGCCTGGTCCCCTCTGTGTGCCCTGGCTTAGTTAGGAACTTCTGAATGTGTGTGACTCAGCTTCTCCAGGAAGGCCTGGTCTGAGGCAGCCCTAGGACCAGAATGAGGCTTGGAGACTACACCAAGAACCCCTGACCGAGGAAAAGAAACACAAATTTTATTTTTCTCCCTTTGGCATAATTTCCAGAGCAGATCTGAAATACATAGTATCACACCAGCCAGAGACAAGATAGAAACGGACATAAAATTATTCTGAAGGATAGCTTTTTAGGGTGGATGGGGAGTCTGGAACCAAAGGGGTTATGTAGGGCACACACTGAGGAGCTTAAAGCTCAGTTTCAGACTGGAAGGGGCACTGTAGGCACATGAGTGTTTCCTGGGCACCACTGTGGCTGGAGAAAGCTGGGCTGGCCACTGCAGGATGCTCCACACTCGGAACTGGCAGGGCCTGGGGTGGGGGTGGGGGGGCGGGGAAGAGCAGCCAGAGCGGTACCTGCAGTCCCCAGGGGCTGACGTGCACCCAAGGGAGGCCTGGGCACTGCCTCTTGCAAGACGGCCTTGGCTTCATGAGGATGGTGAGCTTGTGCTAGGCAGCTGCCGGCCTCCCTCCCAGCCCCTATCTGGAAATACGACCTCCAAAGCAAAAGCCACCGTTTCGGGGAGGCTTCCTGGCTGGTCTCACTGAGCCTTGCCTCTGCTTTCACTGCACTCATTGCAAAATGGGTGCCTCTGGTTGCACAGTCACCTCTGGGAGGCCTTCAGAAACCCACACAAGGCAAGGAAGGGAGCCACCTGGAAAGGAGCCTGGAGGGCTTCCACCCTTCTACCGGCTGCCCTCCGGATCCAATGCCGGATTCTTCCCCTGTAGGAAAAACGGAAGCAGGACTCTGGCCAGGAGAGCTGAGAGGCATGGGATGGCTAGGAAACGGAGGCCTGCCTGCTAACCTCTTCCCTCAACCCCACGTCCCTTTCTCAGCAGCTTTGCCAGCTTGGTGCTACTCTAGATTCTTCCTGAGCCCTGGGAATCCAGAACCACCAAAGTATTCCCTTCATGTAGCGTGGTCTTTTCCCAGATGTGACTCAGGCCCGGGCAGCAGTAAGGGCCCTCCAGAGCCCAGCAGTCCAGGGGGTAGAGCCGGACAAGTGGAGGAAGGAAGACTCATTACTGCCAGCCCCTCAGCATCCCGGACCTCGCAGAGATGGCCCAAACAAACGTGGGGCTTGGCCTGCCGCAGGGAGCACCAATAAGGGAGGAGGATATGGTAGGGCAGGTAGGGTTCCTCCCCAGGGAGCATGGTACCTGACAAGATGGGGCAGGGCAGGAAAAAGGCAGAAATGGGTTTTAACCGGTTCTGGGGCCTCAGGCAAGGGGTCTGGGGCCATTCTGCACTGCTCGAAATCCACCTCCCAGCTTCCAGGAGATGATATTTTAAGCCAGAACAAGCCCCTAGTCCCCTGAGCTCATCCAGCCAGTGGCGAGAGGATAAAAAGTAGTGCAGGGCCCATCTTCTGGGGATTGTATGGGGTACATGTCACATGTCTCCCCTCAACCACCACTGTGGGCTCCTGCACGGACCTGAGGCTCTCCCTTGCTCACAGGGAGGCCGCAAGGAGCCAAACGCAAGGAGGGTGAGGATGAGGGGAGGCGCCACGCCACTCACTGCCTCCTCTGGGTCGTGCTGTCCTCAGAGCTGTCTGCTTCGGGATGGGCCCTCTGGCCCCTGGGCTCCTGCTGGAGTTCGGTGATTCTGCATGAGGAACCCTTACTCCCTGGGGCCCTGGTTTCTTCACTGTCCTCTGATCCTGTGCAGGGGGAGTCACCAGTTAATGGCCAGGTTTTGAGGTCCTAGCTGATCTCAGAGAAGCCACTTGGTGCCCAGCACTGATCAAGGGTACCCAGGGCTTCAGAGGACAAGATGAGGAGGGGCTGGGACACTGTTCTGCCTCCGGATAGCTGCTGGGGGGGGGGGGGGGGCTCACAGAACAACCTAGAAGCCACAGGGTCTCCAAGCCAGTGTTACAACTAGAGGGAGAGGGGGAAGGGAGGGCAGGAAGGAGGCCTGCAGACGGAAAGCCCCCAGGTGCCCTGGCACCCTCAGCCGTGGGGAAAGCTGGAGCTCACTGGGAATGTGGGCCCACAATTGGAGGTGTTCAACCTGGAAGCTGGTCCCTCTGCTGGTCCATGCGCTCCAGATTCTCCAATAGACGGTCCACCTGGGCTTTGATCTGGCTTAGCTCGCCCCTGATGGAGTGCAGCTCCTCAGTCTGGACTGTTTGGAGAGGGGCCAGAGCTGATGTCCCACCAGGCCCGGGGGGCAGAGGGCTCCCTGGCCTGCCCTCACTGCTAAGGTTTGCCCAGCTCTTCCCTAGCCCTGTAGGTAAGGGCTGCGCCCCCTCACTCACGCTTTATTTGCTCTCGGGGCAGGTGGCTCTTCCTGGCACCCTTGTGGGCACTGAAGCTGCTCTTGACCCCCAAGCCCACCTGGGTCCTCCGGATCTTAACAGGCACGCGATTGATGAGTGGAGGGATCCTTGGGTATTCATACACCCTACTGGGACAGGACAGAGAGGGAGTCAGGCCAAGCAGCTCCACCTGTTTACCCAGAGGACGGGGGAGTAAGATCCACCTACCCGTAGGGGACATCTTCCCTGTACAGCTTGTAGTCCAGGTCATAGTTACTCCTGCTGCAACAGAGACAAATGGAGAAGGGGTCACTCTCCATGGCCAGAGTCCTTGCCTAGACCGCAGTTTAACGTGAAGAAACTCAGGCATGCAACTTTTCCTTAGAACCCCAGGATTCTCCATTAGAAGAGCCTTGAAGGACTTAACCAAGGCCACTTTGGGAGACCACAGCTTCCCCATGTCTGGCCTCTGAGAAGGGGCACTTTCCAGGTGGCTCCAGGTGACAGGAGGGGACAATTGCCTACAGCCTTCTGGCCAGCCAGATAGGGGCCCTCCAAAGTTTCCTCTGCCTGACCCAGGAACAGCTGACGTTCTGGATCTTAGTCTGGCAAAGCATGAAAGGGAAGAGTTAAGTCGGGGCCTAAAGCCACGGTGGGGGTGTGAGAGCCTTTAATCCTTGCGTGGGGATCGCCAGGATGCCGCCCAGCACTGGCAGGGCCAGCCAGGCAGGGTGAGGGCTGTGGCCAGGCCACCTTCCTCTTTGCTCCAGGCCTGCGGAGACAGAAGGAGTTTGGGAGGTCCCAGACTCTCCCTGCCCGGCCTCTGCCCCTTCTCTCCTCTGCCCTGCATCTCCAGGGAGGGAACTGGTGGGTCCCGGCCTGGGCAGCGAGGCTCTGTAGGGACACAGCTGCAGAAGCTTCAGGCGCCCCCTACGCCTGGGGCTGGAGGGGTGATGAGGGGGACGGGAGGGGATGCGTGCGGGGGGCAGCACAGTTTCTAAAACAACTTTCGGGTGCTGTGCGCCCACGCCCGCATCTCAGGCCCAGCCCACGAGGGGCGAGGTCTGTAGGGGCACTGGGTCTGAATGGAGGACGTTTGGAGGACGTCCTGGTTCCCCCGCGCCCAGGCCCGCGGGTGCGAGTTCCGGCCGCCCCCGCCCCCGCTTTCCGGCTTCAGGAGGCCTGGAGGGGCGGCCTGGAAGCCGCAGGGATGCTGATTCTGCGGGTGGGAGGCGCGTCCTTGGAGAGAGGAAAGCGCGACGGCAGAGCGCGGGGACGTTGCGTACCCAGCCCCCGGGGGGTCGCGGTGAGGGCGGGGGGGGGGGGGCCCTGGCGCGGTGCCGAAACGGGCAGCCTCCTGGGGGCCGGGAACTAGCGGGCGGGGGCTTGGGGGCTGGGACGGGCCTGAAGCTGACGCGCCCCAGCTGGGTGCGACTGCTCAGAGAAAATTCTCACTGGTCTGGGTCCCCTTAGACTGTCCGGCGCGTTCCCCCACCTGTCCCCCACCGACGGGCCCGAAACCTCGACGGAGAGCAGACGCGGAGCCGGCGGCTGCTAGACCACCTAGGTCTCTGTGGCAAACCTTTCTAATGGCGTAGCATTGGTGGTTCAGTGGGAGCGTTCTCGCCTGCCACGTGGGAGGCCCAGGGTCGATACCCGGTTAATGCAGACCCTTAGCTTCCCCCCCCCCCACCTCCCCTTGCATTTTTTCCTAAAATGACTTTTTGAAGGAGCCAGGAGTGAATGGTACAGGAACGTTACTTCACTGACCGTTTAACACAGACTTGAGAATTGCCCGAGTTGAGATGGGGTGGGATGGGTCTGGGAGTTGGGTCTCAGGCCCCATGCACCCTACAGCGGTGCTTGCTGCAGGCAGAGTCCCTCTGGGCCTGAGGAAGGGGGGCCCCTCACCCCACCCCACCCCTCTGTCATCAGCCAGGGCTGAAGCCCGTGCGCTGATCCTGTGGCCTTGCCTCTCTCCCCCCAGGGGGCAGCCGCCTGCGCCCATGGCTGCCCAGCTGCATCTGGTCCCTGGTCTGGGCTAATTGTTACTCTCGGTAAGTCGGGGCTCCCCACGAAAAGAGAAACAGGACGCAGCTTTAGAATGGTGTTGTGGGCAGAGCTCAAGCCGCCTCAAGTGTCCTGAGGGCCAGGGGCAGGGGGAGGAGACTTGGGGCAAGTCTTTCACCACAAACCTTTCCCTTCAGGTTGAAAACTTCCATTTTGAGGCCTGGACTGGACTCGTTCTTACGGAGACGTCATTCAGCAGTTCAGCGGCCACCAGAACCCCATCGCCACCCTGCCCTTCCTCTGGGCACCATCCTGAGGGCTCGAGCTATGGCCACCGCCACCCACCCACTGCTGCCCCAGACCCAGGCGGCTCCGGCGCCCCCCGCCCCCCCCCACGAAGGGCTTCATCCTCCCTCCTGGAATCCCCTGGGCCAGATCATTACAAAACCCCTAGAGTCTCCCATGAGACACGTGGCAAACCAACAGACCGCATAGGCAGCTCTGCGTCACTGAAGAAACACCAGGTTAAAGAACCGAGCGTTACCCAGGAGCAGACAGCTGCTCATCAGCCCAGAACAAAAGCAGTGGCAAAGCCACCCACCCTGGCACACTCACAGGGTGACACACACCCTCAGGCAGGTGCTGGCAGGGAGAGATTGGGCCTCATCTGTGTCAAGGTCAAGCTGAAGGTGCAGAGACTTTTCGGAGCAGCCCCCAGCTCAGCCCTGCCATCTCCCTTCCGGGAAGCCAAGGCAAACCGAAAAGCAACCAGAACCTTCAGCACAGGGCATTTACACAGTGTGGTTCCTCACAGCAAACACTTGCCCTACCGCCGCCTCCACCGCAAGGTGGAGACCACCCGAGTGCCCGCAGGGGAGCCAGGAGCTGAGTGAGGCCACCACAGATGCCCGGCTCAGGGGACGCGCTGTCCTTACGCCTGTGAAGATGGCATATTGGCTGGCAGAATTTGGTGAGCTCTTTTCTGAAATCGTTTCAAGAGTTCCTAACATTTTCTTTAAGCTTCCCAAGTTAGGGGCAAGATTTCATCCAGGCAAGTTCCCATTTGCTACTTCCCAAACATCTCTAGCTGGAAGAAGCCCCCAGGCACCACGCAGGTGGGGCTTCCCGGGGAGGACCTGGCCCCAGGTGGGAGGTAGGGCACCGGTCTCTGTCAGCAGGGTGGTGCTGGGTGCAGGGTGACCAGGGCCCTGGGAATGAACTGGGTCATCTCCCTCAGTTTACAGACAAAACTTGAGGCCAAGGGAGAAGAGACTTCCAGATGCCACAGTGAGTAGTCTGAGCTGGCCTCCTGGGGATCTTGTTCCATCTCAGGGGAACCCAGAGCGTCGGACAAGCCAGCCACCAGCCTCCCTCCCCGGCAGGCTGCGGGCAGCCCTGGAGAGACTCACCAGGAGATGGCTGTGCCCTGATGTCTCTTCTGGCCCGGCTGGGCTGGGCCTGGCCTGGGCTCTCCGGCCATGTCGAAGTCTGAAGAGAGAACAGGAGAGCAGGGCAGAGCCTGAGAGGACGGAGGGAGGGGTGCAGAGGAAGGGCCCAGGTGCCCATGGGCCCCACTGGCTTCCAGGCTGGCCCTTCCCTGCTCCGCCGCTCCGAGGCCGTGGATACTGCTCTGTAAGAGGCAGCGCGGCAGAGCATGGCCCCCGTCAGTGGGCAGCCCCGCCTGGCCTCCCTCACACCCCGAACCCACAATGGGAACCAGCCCCATCGCCCGTGGCCTGGAATTGGGGGTGGTACCCAGGAGGGAAGGAGGGAAGAAGGCAGGAGGGAAGATATTCGTGATCTCCGTGTCCTCTGAGGAGACCCCTAGCCCTGGCCAGAGTCAATGCTCGAATGTCCTCTTGCTGCCCGTCTGCCTGCCCACTTGCCCGCCTGCTGCTGGCCCACGCGCCCCAGCTGCCTGTGGGCCGAGCCCCGGGGGCCGGCCGCGGCGGAGCTGGCCAGGGCGGCTCTGAGTGAGGAGCAAAGCCCGCAGCTGGCCGGGGCTGGGGATGGACACCCCCCTGCCCTCTCTCAGTGGCGGAGGCAAGAGTCCGCTGAACCCATGCAGGGGAGGGCTGAGACGTCCAGCGAGGCGGCCTCTGTGCACCTGTCACGGCAGATCTTCTCGTTTCTGGGCTCCTCTCCTCTCGTGTTCAGCACTGGAGAGAGCAGCACTGCGCTCATGGCAGAGGGAGGGGCTTCTCTTCACCCCGGACCCCCCCTCGGTGCTCAGGGCCTGGCACTCAGCAGGCACCCATTGATGTCTGTGGGATACGTGGATGGAAGCCCATTAAATCATTCCATTTTTTGTTTGGAGTTTGGATCAGACCCCAGAGTTTCGCTTGTGACTTCAGGGCCCCTCCCTGACCCCACCCCCTTTCTTCCTCAATCTATGATCGTCATCTGTGGTCTACCGTGGCTGCCAAGACGGTAACGAATGTGAGCCTTCTCCTTTTCCCATCCTCAAGACTTCATGCCATACAAGCGCCGAGCGCACTCACTCAGCACCTGCTTGCTTGCTTTCTGGGAGGAGTAGGAGACTGGCAACAGTGTCCCCGAGGCATTGACGATCCAGACTGAGTGTTTAATTGGGAGGAAGTTGGCAGTTTGTCACCGTGGACTTTCTCTTTCATTGGTGGTCCTGATTCATCCCCTCAAGGACACATCACACAAATGACCGTGCGCCAAGGTAAATGCCCGCACTTCCTTCTTGCCTGGCTTTCTGTGTCTTTTCCTTTGGCATATCTTTATACCTGTGGTCACCTTCACATTTGCAATATCCAAAGGGGACAGAAAATCACACCCATGTATACCACACAGGGCATGGACACATAGAAATGCCTACTGTGCCCAAGATGGAAGGGTCAAGTGGGAAAAACCATTTATGGCCCCCAGATTGCCAGTCATGGGCTAATTATTGCAAGGGGGCTAGTGGAGTATCTGGGAAGTTCGTCATCAATGGCAAACCTTGTCTGATATGTAATGGGCATCTTCCTGGGCACCTGCCACTTTCAGCCCAGAGCAGACAAGCCTGGGTGCATGGCTGGGCCCCACCCCCACTCAGGGGCTGTATTAATCAAGATTCTCCAGAGAAACAGAACCAGTAGGAGGCATATACCGAAAGAGATTTATTATAAGGAATTGGCTCACATGATTATGGAGGCTGACAAATCTCAAGAGCTGCAGTCAGCAAACCAGAGACCCATGAGAGCCAATGGCATAGTTCCAGTCCAAAGACCAGCAGGTCTGAGACCTAGGAAGAGCCAAAGTTTCAGTTCAAGTCTGAAGGCAGGAAAAACAAAACAAAACAAAAACGGATGTCCCACTCCAATGGCAGTCAGGCAGGAAGAGTTCCCTCTTGCTCTTGGGAAGGTAAACCTTTCTATTCTATTCAAGCCTTCAACTGATTGGATGAGGCCCACCCACATTGGGGAGGGCAATCTGCTTTACTTAGCCCCTTCAAATGTTTCATCCGAAAACACTTTCACAGACTCACCCAAAATAATATTTGGCCAAATCTCTGGCCACCTTGTGGCCCAAATTGAAACATAAAATTAACTATTACAGGGACCAAGCGCTGGAAACAGGTGGAGGTCTGTGCTCCATATTCATCTCTCACAAAGGGACATGCCCTCTTGCATTCCCCCAGGCTGTGAGTGCCTGATTCATGAAACACAGACAGTCATAATGAATGACAGCAGATGACACAAGGACAGGGGACATCAGCAGTCAGGTGGGAAGAAAGCAGAAGACAGAAACAGACCAAGTGGATGGAAGGACTAGAATAAGGACAGAGGAGAGAAGCAGAAGGGGGTGGATATATTGGACAGCTGATCTTCAGAGTTCCCCCGAGCTGACTCCCACATGTGTCCATCCTGAATTAATCAAACAGATGCAAAGTAGTTCACTGATTTTCATGGAGCTCCCAGGAAGAAAGGAAAGGGTCATTGTATCATCTCCAGTACTAAAATATATTGCAAGCAGCAGCCAGCAATGATTGAATTCCAACAATCTCCTGGACGTTGTGCTGCAGACTTCACACCCATCATCTCAACCGTCATGGCAGCTTTGCAGGGCAGATGCTGTTGGTACCCCCATTGGACTGTATCCAGCGTCAGGTGGAGAGCAAGCTGAGAGGAGCAGTGGGATCTCCGGCCCCTGCAACCACTACCGTGTTACAAAAAATCAGAGGACTTACTTGAAGGTGCCCAGGGGATCAGCTGGAAGCAGAGTCTGGTTCAGGGAGCACCTCCGGGCTGCGATATCTTGGCGCCGGATGGCTCCATGACCCACTCCAAAAGGGGGCGAGAACCTGGTGAGGGCTTGGGCTGACGAGGGTAGCACTGCAGGCTGGGGTCCTGGATATACCAGGTGGCTTCTTGCAGTGGACACGAGTCATTCTTTGAGCCACTTCACATCTGAGCCCCCTTCCTGTGTTACAGGTATCCCCTAGCTTGGAGATAGAAACTGCCTCCCAGGAAAAGAGCTGAAAATGCCCCTTTCTGCCTCCCTTTCTTCGCCTTCCTTGCCCCTAGGGCCTGGGCACACTACGTGGCTCCTGCCATCAGACCCATGGGCCTCACTTTGAATTTGAGTGGTCAGTGTGACGCAGCTTGTCCCAGCACGTGATGGTGACAACGGCAGCAGCTACCTCCAGCCCCGTCCCACGTTGGTGACGCTGACTGTGGCGTCTGCGGCAGGGGCAGTGAGGTGCCTTCCAGGCCTGATCCTCTGGCCTTTCCCAGAGCTCCTGGGAACTCACCAGTCTCTTTGGCAAATTCCTTTTCTGTGTAGAGTCGCCAGGATCAGTTTCTGTTGCTTAAAACAAGAACCTTGATTGATACAAAATAGGACTCCTGCGTGGAAGGAGCGAGAAGCCCAGGGGGAAACGGGGGCGATCTAAGGCTGGGTAGTGGCCAGAGGACGGTGAAAATCCTGCTAGCATTAAGGGACAGGATACCGGCAGCCCATGGCATGCCATGGTGAGACACTTAATCCTGCGGTCCCCCAGAACAAAGCGTCCCTCAAAGGCAGGGCTTTGGGGATCTGGTGGCTCCTGACATAGAAGAGTATACAGATTACCCCAAAGTCAGGGGCTGTTGGTCAGAGGGTTTTGCTAATGGCACCACACAGCTTGAAGGAAAGAAAGACAAGCTCAGGGGCGCCTGGGTGGCTCAGTCATTAAGCGTCTGCCTTCAGCTCAGGTCATGATCCCAGGGTCCAGGAATCGAGCCCCGCATCGGGCTCCCTGCTCCGAGGGGAGCCTGCTTCTCCCTCTCCCTCTGCCTGCCGCGCTGCCTACTTGTGCTCTCTCTCTCTCTGTCAAATAATAAAAAAAAAAATCTTAAGGAAAAAAAAAAGACAAGCTCAGAGCCCAAATTCTCTGCTCAAGGCATGGTTAGAAAACCAGGGAATTTTTATATCTTGCAGCTACAAGGATGAGAGAGTGAGAAAACCAATCTTAACAGCTTGATCAATGGCTAGGAACTGACACCATCAGGTGGCCTCATACCCTTGCCTGGTCTCTAACTGGGAAAGAATGGAGAGTAGAGGGCAGAGGCCATCAGAACGGGGCTCTTTGGGAAGGTGGAAGACTTAGGTGCTCCCCCGCCCCCAGCTTCCCTTGCCAGCAGCAGCTACCTCTTGATCTCTTGATCGTTCTGAACACCCTGGAGGCAGGAACCTGCTGGCTACTTGCCAAACCCATACCCCTTCCCTGGGTGCATATCTAGGTGGAGCTTCTTGCCCTCCCTCACGGTTAGTGGGCTACGGGGCTGAGGGGCAGCCACCAGCTAGCATTTCCTTAAACAATACACCCCCTAATGACTTGCAGTGAAGGAGTCCCCTTGTGAGCTCTCTCCCACCACCCCTTGTTTTCTCTGGACGGAAATAACAAGTCAGACCCTTGCAGGCCCCAGGGAGCTGATGACTTCAAATCCAGAAGGAGGATATTGAATCACCAAAAGAACTGAGGGATTTTGCTAATTTATATTGGCAAAAACCTGGCAAAGTGATCAGGGGACGGATTCTGAGGTTGGAGGATGGGGGTAGGAAGAATGTGAAATGGGGTTGAATGTATAGATACTTCGGATTCCGTGGGGCCAGTCTGAGTAGCTGGGATGGTTCTGATTGTTTGCTCAGATGGTTGCTTGAAACTTGGACTTAATTGTGGCCGCATAACCTAAGCTAATAGTGAAGAAGAAGAAAAATGAGCCTAAAACTTAGCATTTACTACCCACCAGGCACAGTTTTAAGCACTTAATACTTATTTCACAAATTTACTTAGCAAGTAAGGTTTAGATGGTGTTCTGTGGATGAAGGAATCGAAAAAATTAGGGCATGAGCTCAACTGAGCTGATGTTCATCCATGTTTACTGGTTTCGGGCTCTGGTCCAGACACTTTAGTGTACCAACTCAATTCCTGATTCTCATTTTTAAAAAATGTTTTAAAGAAATTTGTGTATTTATTTGAGAGAGAGCGAGAGCAGAAGCGGGGGGAGGGGCAGAGGGACAGGGAGAAGCAGGCTCCCCGCTGAGCAGGGAGCCCCGACGTGGGGCTCAATGTGGGGCTCGATCCCAGGACCCTGAGGTCTTGACCTGAGTCAAGGGCAGGTGCTTTAACCCAGTGAACCACCCAGGGACCCCAATTATCCTCATTTTACAGGAGAACGTGAGGCAGAGAGATGTCTTAGGGCGACCTGGGACTGAGGGGTTTCCCAGCATGTAGAACATGGAATGCTAAGACCCAGACAGTTCCGGGCAGACTGGGGTGACTGGTCTCCTTGTTAAGTAACTTGCCCAAAGGAACACGGTAAGTGGCAGAACCTGTCCTGAAATTCAGGTGTTCTGACTTTAGGCTCAAACTCTCCACCTCTGCTGGTGGTTCTTGCGTCTGAAGATCCTGCGTCTCAAGTAGCTGGAGATCTTGTTTGAAAAAACCAAAACCCAAGCCCTGGCCTCACCCTCTCCATTCAATCCTTTGGGGGCGGCCGAGAATTTGCTTTTCTACCAAGTTCCCAGGTGATGCCGGTGCTGCCCGACTGCAAACGGACTTGGAGAATCACCGCATTCGGCCACCTCGCCTCCAGACGAGAAGGCTGGGGTGGACTTCTCAGGTAGGACATGGTCACTGCCACCTCACTCACAAAGCCCGAGATGGCATTGAGAAACAGGTGGGTGAGGGAAAGGCCTCCGTGCCAGGACGACTGACGGGGGAGGCTGCGTGCAGCAGGATGCGAAGCTGGTGTCTGGGCTCAGAGGGGCACGGGATTGCCAGCAGTAGTTCTCAAGGCCAAGGTAGGGTTGCCCCGGAGGGGACTCCAGTACCCGGCAGCTGTAGCGCAAGTGTCTACCTGGCCTGACTTTGCAGCAGAATTTGGGGCCTGGCTCTCTGACTCTCCCCAGGATCCTGTGACCAGCCCCCCCCCCTTTTTTTAATTGAGGTGAAATTCGCATAACATGGCGGTAACCCATTTGGTGGCATTGAGTACATTCACCGTGTTGTGAGACCACCACCGCTAAGTTCCAAAACATTTTTGTTCCAAAATAAAACCCAGACCCATTGAGCAGTTACTCCCCGTTCTCCTGCCGTCCCCTGGCAAACACCAGCATGTGTTTTGTTTCTGTGGGATTACCTATTCTGAGTATTTCATCTGAATGGAATCGTACCATATGTGACCCCTTGTGACTAGCTTCTTTCACTTAAAATAACATTTTCAAGGTTCATCCACCTTGGGAGCCTGTATCCGTTCTTCGTTCCTTTTAATGGCTGAGTAATATTCTGTGGCACGTCCATTCATCCACTGGTGGGCATTTGGCTGGTTTCCACCTTTTTGCTGTTGGGAATGACGCTGCTGTGAACTTTGTGTGTAAGGACTTGAGTATTTGTTCTCAGTTCTCTCGGGTATAAACCTAGGAGCGGAATTGCTGGGTAACATGGTAGCTGCACTGAACTCTTTGAGGACTCAGCAGACTGTTTTCCAGAGTGGCTGCACCATTTCAAGCTCCCACCAGCAGCCCATAAGGGTTCTAGCTGGTCCAAGTCCTCGTCAACATTGTTATTCTCTGTTTCTCTGATAACAGCTGTCCTAGTGTGTGTGAAGTGGTGTCTCAGTGTGGTTTCGATGTGGATTTCTTAATGACTAGTGATTTTGTGCTTGTTGGCCATTCGTATAGCTCCTTTGGAGAACTGCCTTTGCTCATTTTAAAGTCACTGTTTTTGATAAATTCCTTTTCTGCTGATAAATCCCTTTTCTGCCATGGTTAGTCAGAGCTGTTTCTATGTTTCTCCTGGTTGCAACCACGATAAAAATTGCGGCTGCTACACTTGTCCCCGTTCCATGGTCCCGGGCCACACTCGCACCTCCAACCAGCAAAGCCTCTCCACACATCACAGTGTGCAAATGGGCCAGGGTGCTTCCCAGACCCTGATGAGGGCACCTCCCAGCGCTCACCTGCCCACAAGGCCCCTCTCACCACTGTCGGGAGCGGAGGGAGCCAGGGCCACGACACCCCTCCCATTCAGACAATCACTAGGAAAGCAGGAGGAACACGCAGGGAAAGGCTGTCTACAGGGAAAGGCTGTCAGCAGAAGCACAAAGGCCACAGAGCCAGTGGTGAGAGGAGCTGGAGCAGGAAGTTAGGGAGGCAAACAAAGCTTCTAAATCTGTGCATCACTCAGGGGCTAAGACTGGAAAGCTTCCAGAAGGTGGCCTGGGTCACGTGGGTGGGCAGGGAAGGGGTGGGTAGCGGGCAGCCAGCTGTGAAGCCTCTCAGGCATCCTCTGGTCTTCCCCGGATCATTCTGGTCGGCTGATTCCCCTTCAAAACAAGCAGTCGCAAGTCCGGCTGATTCATAACTTAGTTTAATCCTTTGTGGGGTGCACCCTGGGCAGTGAGGAACCTCCATCTGCCCCAGAGGGTCCGGCGACCATGGAGGAGAGTGGTCTCTTCTGGCTGCTGGCCCTGCCTCCTGTTTGGGCGCCTGACACCCACCTTCCCAATCAACAGCAGGCTGAGGGGCCCCGGCTCCCCTCCCCCTATGGCAGACTCCCTCTGGGCCTGACTTGTACCCCCTGCCTCCCTTCCTGCCAGGTCTCTCTGAGACGTCTGTGGATGTTGGCTTGCAGTCCTGGCCTGGCCCTTGTTCCAGACAGGTGGGCAGCTGGGCGAGCGCGGCTGCGCATCCGGGTGCTGGCAGGGGGTCACGGCCAAGTCTCAGGGTCCCGGGTCCCACCGGGAAATGTGCTCCTCAGCTGGAAAGGAAGCCGGACAGAACGAGGGTCAGTGGCAGCCTGGGCAGTCCTAGGATGGGGACCTTTCTGCAGTTGGTCCTGAAATGGCTATGCTCCCACGTGGAGCTCCAGACCTTTCCAGCAGGTGCCGCTGGGGGCGGGTTCTGGGCCACGTTTCCCCTCTGTTCCCTGCCACAGTTCACCGGGCTCTAGGGAATCAGGGAGCACTGGTGAACCCAACAGGTCCCTAAGTAGCAGCTTTGGTGACAGGGGGAAAGGGACCATGGAGAAATCCCTGGCCAGGCTGTTTTTCCAGTCCGCCGCATGGACGTGCTTCGTGAGGCTGGGCTTCTTTCTCTCTTTTCCCCGGGCCTCAGGGGCCCGAAGGCAGCTCAGAGCGCCGAGCAGGACTTCCCCGGCGGCCCTGCATGCTCAGACACTTTGCGGGTCTGTGACCTGGACATCCCAGCCCCTGGAGCGAGCCAGCAGGGACCAGAAGAGGGGAGCTGTGAGGGGGCCCTCACCAAACTGGCAGATGTAACGGTTTCGGGTTTTGCAGCGTTGGTCGTTCCAGTTGAAGGCGGCGGACGCCTGTAACTCCACACAGTTGCCAAACCTGCCAGGCCGAGATGCTGGGTGCTCAGCGTGGGGCAATGAAAGTAGGCTTCCATCTTCCACGCCAGCAGGCCCCCCTGTGTCTAAGAGCCCCGTCCCACAGATGGGGCCTCCAGGAGCCAGACCCACCCCCCAGCTCCCATGCCTGCTCCCCAGTCCTCAGCCGCTCTTCTCAGGAAGAGGGATGGAGGGACCGCTGAGGGGACGGTGGATGAAGCCTTCTGGAGTTCCCTCTCCTCTGTGTGAGCCTGTGGAGGCCGGGGTGTGCCTCAGCCCAGCACCGTGCCGCACCCAGCCGTGCCCGGACTTCCTGGGCACCGGGGGAGGCCCAGGCCCTCAGGGGACTCAGCCAGGCAGCGGGCTGGGTGGAGGTTCTTCAGTGGCATCTGAAGGCTCAGCCAAGGGCCCAGGTGAGAGAGAGAGCCCAGGGGAGGGAGGGCACCCCAGACTCACCCCTGGTTGTCAGGCTGCCCAAAAGCAAAACTGGTGAAGGATTGGTGCTCCCCCGTGGTCCAGCGGAAGGAGTCCTTGGTGGTCTTGTAGGTGAGCCCTGGGCCATGGCAACTAAGGTTGGTCCACCACCCAGGGCCCCACTCAGAGCCCAGGTTCCCTGAGAGGAGCGCCCTGAGCTTGGAGCCTGCTGCCTAATGCCCTTTCGGCTGCCAGCCCTTAACCCCCTTCCTAGCTCTTCCAGCCCCTGGTGACCCTCCCTCTCCTTCCCTTCCGTGCTCTCCCCAGGGAAGGAGGTTGCCAGTCCCCTTCTGGGCCCCCAGCCCCTACCGCACCCTTACTGTCTGCTGGTGGGTTTTCACTGCCCAGATTCCTGCACTCCCAACCAGCCAAGCACTCACCGATCCAGAAGTTCCTGGTCTCAAAGTCGCTGTCAGGCACCTCGTTGGTGGTCTCCAGGCGGCCCAGGTAGAAGGCGAGGATGTCCTGCACTTTCTGGCTCTCGATCTGCGCTAGCACCCCGCCCTTTCCCTGTAACCCCCACTCCAGGTCACACTGGCAGGGCCCCAGAGCTCAGGCCAGCCCGTCCCGCCCATCCCGCCACAGCCAGGGATGTCCTCTCCCCCACCCCACAGCCTCCTGCTTTGTAACATCCCCTCCCTGCATCTTCTCTCTCTGGGCCTGGGGGCCCTGCCCTGGGGAGGTTTTTGTTTCATGTGTTCAGTGTCCTGAATACATTGGAATCGGTTGCCAACATTAATACATCGAGAGATCCCAGTGAAAATCTGAATTTCTGATTCTCTTGAAAAATCCCAAGTTCTGGCCTCCCTGAACTCGGCTACCTGCCTGGCAGCCAGCAGCTAGAGCTGAATCAGGACGGCTCCTTGGAGGGGGGGGGGTGGGCGGGGCCTCCCCCCCTGAGTCCCTCAGCTCATTCAGTGACCTCCTGGCTTCCATGGGCCTCTGAGTTTGTGACCCCTGCTTTAGAGTAATGACCAGAGTCAGGGCAGGAGAAATCGAAGGAACCATCTCTTAGTCCGAGGTCCCTCCATGAAGACCCTCACTTGAGACCCTGGGGGTCCCTGGGAAGGCAGGGGTCCACCATCACCTGGCATTTCATCTTGGCTCCATAGTAGGTGTCTGCCTCCGAAGACACCAGGAAGCAGTCTCCGTCGATCCTCAGGTCACAAGTGTGGAAGGGAAAGTGCACCTTGGCTGGGGACAGGGGAGCCTGACTATGCGTCGGGGGGACCTCAGACCCATCACGCCTTCCACCCTGCCAGGGAGCCAAGCTCAAGAAGCCCCTTCTTCTGGCCACCCTCTCCAAGCTGGAGGGTGGGTGGGAGTTGGTGGCATGCTGGGGAATGTGTAACATCCAGCTTGCTCTCTCGTAACAACAAAAACAAAAAATATTTGTGGCATTTGCCAATTTCACCCACCGTGGCTGGTTTCAAGTTACCAAACATGATGGGACTGAACAGGGAGTCAGGAAGAGATGTGGCCCGTGGGCTCCCGTGCGCCGGTCTGAGCCGGATGCAGCTCCCTGGTGAGGGGCTACAAGGGGGTGGCCTGGCTCATCATCGGGGGACCTCAGGGCAGGACTCACTGGCACACTGGGCTCCCCCA